CCCGAGTTGTAGGCCCGAGTTTGTAGCAGCGATGTCAGACAAGATATGAATGTGTTTTTGGGCTCAAATGAAAGAGCGGCTCGAGAAATGGCGTGCTAGGGCCTCTAAACATGACAAATGTCTCTAAAGATGATGTCTGTTTTCAACTGAAAAGCAGTGTCTAGGAGGACAATGGGGTCTAGGAGTATGTATAGAACATTGGGGTCTAGGAGTCTCCCCTGCTTCAAAACCATCTTTAGAGGTCCGAATTGAAAGAAAATTATTCTCTATTTGTTCTTTATCATGAATAATTGAAGAAAGACTTGATCCAATAAATAATGACGCTCATTTTTTGAGAATGAGGCTATTTTTATTGCAAAATCTCGAGGAATTACAGGATAACAATTCTCGGGATAAGAAGAATGTACCGGCAATTAAGAGAGCTGTCCCAACATTATTTATTCACCTCAAATAATCAAATTCACGTGACTATTTCAAACAATATTCCATCGTGATTAAATATTTGATACTGTATTTCCATTAGATGTTGATGCCCAACTTTGTCATGTAACAATCATTATCATTACATTCTCTACAATACCCTAATTTTAAATTCAATTTCAGTTAATTTAAATCTAATTTAATTTAAATTATCATTGAGATCATTTTTATTCGTCTCAGTCTTAAGACTATGGTAATACTGGCACAGGTCGCAGATGTCTTTCTCATTCACCTCTGAATACGAAAGTACATAATAGGAGAGGAGGTAGAGTATTGCACAATGTTATTGAACGCATTTTTTCAAGTCTTTTGGGTTTTGTCAATCTTTTGGATTTGTTGGTCATTCATAAGTAGAATGAGTTATGTGAAATGGGTGGAAATACCGAGTGACAATTCCAATGTTTCGATTGTTAATGGAGTGAGCACGACGTGCAATGTACAATTATGGGCTGACATAGTTGAAATTTTAGTGTTGATTAACATTGGTCTTCCTCTCTACCGGCAATTATCATACATTGAGCTTGAGGATTACAACTATAAATACAAATTACGATGTTTCTACTGGATAACCACCCTTTTTTTCGACTAGGTGTATTGTAAATGCCATCGAAAGTAAATAAACACTATTTAATTTTGTACAGTTACTGCCTCAGTGCAAAAATATCATATATCAATTGATTATCATTTTCACTCATTTTCTTTCATTGGACGTTCTCGTTCGACACAACGCGTGTTCCATAATTTCTCTCTCCGTCTAGAAAAACCACTCTTCAACCGTCATTTGATTATCTTTACAATTACATTTTGCATTCCTTCTAGGTATTAATATTTATTTTAACTATTCTTTGGAGAGTTTAGTTTTAATTCGTCTGTACATAATCTGAAGCTTAGCCTTCACGTTTTCAGGGGTGTCATCTGTAAAAATTCATGAATATTCATTTATATTTTTATTATATAATTCATTTATATTTTCCGAAAGAAACACTTTAACAGTGACACACGGGGCGAGATTGTGAGATTGCACATGAAAATGGGAACTTCCTATCCCGGCCTTGGAATTTTATTCCTTCCTACACTCCTAAAAATTTATTTCAATTTACGTAAGTTGAATAATTAAATTGAGCTATTTACGTAAAACAATTTCAATGAAAGCCTCAATTTTTGAACTCATAAAAATTGGGCAATTTCATTTTCATGGATTGAATTGCATTTTTAATGGATAATTGATAATCGAGAATAATAAGTGCCTGAATCTTCGTCAATTCAAGAGTAATTTTCTAACGGGGTGGCCTTGAGGGGCTGATGAGCATGAATATTATGACTTCGATGTGATTAAAATCTGCTAATAGCCTCATCATCACTAACAAAGTAATTTCCACTGGTGACAGCGGATCCGTACATGCTGTACGTAGGACTGAGAACTAATCCCCGTCCACAGAATCCTTTGTCGTCGGCGACTGAAGAGTGTCGGGCTATCGTTCCGTTGGATTTCTTTTCCTTCTTCAGGGTCATCCTGCAGTCGTCGGTTCTTAGAGGCATCGAGGGATACGCGGGCTGTCTCGCTAACGTCGTCAGGGCTCTGTCCCCAGTCTCGTTGAAGCTATCGAGTTGAAGGGGAAGATTATGCTTGCGGTAATGATTATGACGCGGGGGGAATTACCTGTGGTGTCTTACGATCCCTCGTTTTATCCTGCAGTGCTCATTCCCAGAACCACCGACAGCTGTTCCGTGGATCTTGCAGGCTTCCAGTCCGGGAACTGGGGATAACGATGTTGGACCGTAGGAGCCACCACTTTGGCGACGATCGAGAATGTGGACTAGCTCGACTGAGGGAGTCGGTGAAAATGTTCCCTGGAGACAGTCGAATGAAAGAGGCGAGATCATTTTTATGGGGTTTTTTGCAATTCAGTAGCCAAGTGGTAAAACCGTGTAAGTTAATTTTGACTATTAACCAGTTTTCAATGCATATCCCGGAATCCAAGGGAGATAGCTGAATTTTTATAAGAACCTTTTTTGTAGGGCCGATTGCGAGCTACAACGAACGTTATCACAAAAATTTCGCTATCTCCCTTAGATTCGGAAGTATTCCTCGAAAATTCTTTTACCACTTCGCTACTGGATTGAAATTACATATAATTTCTATTGGAATTGGTTTGGAAATTCCATTAGTTTTTCGTGAATTCTATTAAAAAATCCTGGTATTACTGTCAATTTTTTTAAAATGTCAAATTGAAACTATTTTACAAAAAAAATCAGTAGATTTCCATATTTATACAGTTTTTCTTTCTATTGAGGCATTTCCTGTAGGAATTTCTCAATTCAACATTTCTATGGAGAATAAACTAGTAGAATACGTGAAATGTTAGTTTGTTATTATTATGTGGAAATAATTATGGACGATTGAAGTCATCACTGCAATCGACATTTTTTAGATTAAAAGAAATGAATAAATTATATTTACATGAGATGGTCTTCTCAAGGGAGTTGGTCCATCCATTCCGACGAGTTTAACACCCACAACGTTTTTCTTGACAATTCCCCCAGGTGTCTCCTGCACATTAAGATTGAGATTGAGATTGAGTTCCAGGGAACTTCTGTCAGCAATTCGTTCAATTTCCCTGGCCTTCTCGATGTTCGTCAATTTTCCGTAAGTATGATTACAAGTTTGCGATGGTGTTGCACACACTGCATTAGTATTGGTGAGTCTGATGGCATTGGTTTGAGCCTCGTTCGACATCAGCACTTGACCCAGTGGTGTAGCTGTTAAATTTCTTACACCGAGTATCTGACCGTCGACGTTATTGAGCTGTGAATGCTGGGAATGCTGCACCCGATTACGACCCGGTGTCTGAGTGACATTCTTTGGGAAGGGGCGGTTTATTCTCGATATTGGGGTATTGTGGACACTCATGCCACGTCTCAATGTAAAATCCGGCCGTTCGGCGAAGCTGCCGTAGTGGGTATTGGTTTCTTCAGAGTGAGAATCCTCGTAACTGGGGCGATCTGTGTCGTCTTGACTGTCTGTCGAGTCTCGTCCCGCTGAGCTCTCCTGTATTTGAAGAAAATTCGATAAATTGCGAGGCTGTAAATGCAAATTATTTAAAGTTCTTCTTAAAAATAATTTTTCATGGCTCTTAATGCAAAAAAAAACGATGAAAAAAATGAAAAATTGAAAAAAACATTTTTTTTTTCATTTCTTTTCTACGTATGACGAAAATTAATAAAAAACCTTACTGAACTCGTTGAAATTCTATTGAAATTATTGGATACGGATTTTCTAAGTTTTTTCTATATTTTGTTTTGTTTTGCATTACAGAATCCGAGGGAAAAAAATTGAAAAAATTATGTCCAAGTATTTTTGTAGAAAAAATTTCAAGAGAATATTCATACAGAAAAATCGAAATCTATTGGCATTCAAATATCTCATAGAATAAGCGCAAAAAACAGATAGAATTTCAATAGAATTATTTCCGGGTTTTATGATTGTATTAATAATAATAATAGTAATAATTAAATATAATATTTATAGAACTGAAAAATCAATTATTTGAAATAACAAAAAAAAAAATTCAAAAAATTCTTTTCAGTAAAATATAATAATAGTTTTTTTTCCCAATGAAAAAAATCAAAATTAAAAAATCAAAAAATCAATAATTTTTTTTTTAATCAAAAAAATAGAATAACGAAAATGTTTCATTTCTCTTCAAAACTCACGTGCATTGCTGAATCTATGAGTAGAAGAGCAGCTCCAGAGCTGCTCTGAGCGACGCCCTGCTCCTTCGATTTGCTAGTAGTGTAGATCCCCAGGAAGTCGCAGCATCTGGGGCAAGTGTCTCTTCCGGCTCCGAAGAGGCCTCGCGTAATCGAGCTCACTAGTAACGAGCCCACGATTGCGGACAACATGGCAGTAGTTCTGAACGGGAACTTTTGGCTCTGGGTTCTGGGGTCGAAATAGGGGTACCTGATGAGGGGTGGAAGACCCAGGGCAGTCTCACCCCCGCCGATTCGCAGACACAGGGAGATTAGGTAGCCAGCGAGGCACCCGTAGGCGTCAATGTACGAGGGCCAGTGGAGGACCGCCAGTAGTTGGGGGAACAGGACGACGTAAACCAGATCTGACGATAAAAATCTGACGGTCGAGGGCAATTAGTCGCAATAATTCGTATTAATTATTCGTCAAATGAAAAAAAAAATTAACGATGAGTAAAAGTGAATGAAGTGATGTATTTAAATGGATAAATAAATAAATAAAGTGAATAAATTTAAATGAATTATTTAAATTCGGTAATTACTCTCAATATTTCATATGAATTATTCATCAATGGGGAAAATGAAAAACGAATAAAAAATGGGAATTAATTAATTAAAATAGATAAATGGATACATGAAGAAATAAGACGAATAAATCACTACTCACGAAAGATGATAAACGCTTCTCGCTGTCAGAGCCACCCCCGCAGCAGCCCCCGTCATCATGAGCAAAGTAATTCGCAGGATCCATCCAATCTCCCTCTCAGACGCCTGAAACAAACAACGACTCAACACCCCCAGGATCATAAATAAGGTGGACTATTTACCTTCGGTCTAATTGCCATTCTGTAAATATTCCTGGTGAACATACTGCTGCTGGAGAGTACGCTGGAGTTCGCTGAGGCGAGAACAGTCACTGAAATTGTTCCCAAGCCGACAAATGCAACCCACTGGGGTGTCAGGTGCTTCAAGACAATTGGGAAAATTGAGCCACCGTCGAGACTGGGAAATGATATTGTCCGATTGAATCCATCAATGAGCGACCAGTCTGTGCCCCTCGCTACTAGTCCAATCATTGCTGAGGGGAGGGCGACTACCAGACAGCAAATCATGGAACTCACTGAGGCGGTTTTCGCCAGGGAGATGGTTTTTATGTTGGCAATGCGTTGAAAAAAACTCTGTGAATTTTAATTATCGATAAAACAAATTGGACTATTTATCCCATTTTTTTTTATTCATTTCAATCCTATGAGGGACTCATCAATTAATAATTGAAATTAACAAATCGTTCTTTAAATCAAATAAAAGATTTATTCAATTTATTCAATTTATTTCTTTATTTATAAATTTATTTACTTCAATTGAATAAATCGTTCTTTAAAGAAAATAAATTATTTATTCAATTGGAATAAAAGTGTAAGAATAATTACATGGCAATGAGAGAAGGAGCTTCTTATTACCTGCCAGGGTATGCCACCGAACATTAGAAGAAACATTCCGTCTATCCACTCGGCGAGATCTCTAGTTTGCACTTCACCCAGCCAATCTTTTCGCCCCAAGTTTCTCTCCAACGATACCACTGGGTTCAACATTGCGTACGGAGTGCTAATTGCCAAACCAAGCGTTATACAGGCCAACTGGAGAGCATCTGCCGACGCCGGGGTGTATAGACCACCAAAAATTGTGTATCTAAAAGCGTTTATGTCTATTAAATTTCGAGAGAAGGAGAATTAACCAAGTTGGAAACTGGAGGCTTTTCGTTTTATTTTTCTCATTCCGATGGATAATATTAAATAGGGGAGGGTGGGGCAAAACGGCCCCCCTTCAATTGTCAATAACTTGTGAATGACATTGTGAAAATTCCCAGTTTCAACTTCATTTTGAAGATAATTTTTCATTCTTCAAAACGAGCTCTAACTCATCCCAATCGGATTATTGAATCGGAAAATATTGACGATTGAAGGGGGGCCGTTTTGCCCCATCCTCCCCTATATTAAAAATTGAAATTATTAATCATAATGGGTCTCCATTATGATCAAACAAGAAGAAGGGTTTTCATTATGATTTTTTTTATATTGAAAATTGAAATTCAAAGGTCTTCATTATGATTTTAATGATGAATTAATTCTTGGGGATGTGAACTTACACAAGTAGCATCAAAGCGGAAGTTCCGACACTGAATTTCGCCTCAATCCCTGCGACAACGCTGAGGGTATTGGCGAGTGCCTTGAGCACAGCGGCCGACCATAAAATATCACCGATGAGTGCTGGGAGAAAGAGTAAAGCCCCGAGCTTGGCACCGTATCTCTGTTGAAATGGATCCAGCATAGTCACGTATTCGGCTTTTCTCATGGGTTTCACGAAGATCAGACCACCTGGGGCAGTGGAAATTGCTCATGTTTCGGTTGTAAAAGTGAAGTGGCACTCAGTATCAGGATACATGCATTAAACTGTTTTTTAGCTTTTAAATTTACCCAGGAGGAGACTGAGACTGTAGCCAATTGGAACCTGGCACCACACCAAACCCCTGGTGAACATTGATTCCGCCGTGCCGTGAACGAACACACCCCCGACCCATGTCGCTGAACGCGTCGGGGAAAGAACATTGAATTATTTGAGCTGTTGCGAAAATTTCATGAACCGTGGGAATTTTAATGATTCGGAGTTCTCGGAGGGGGTGAGGATTGGGGGATAATGAGGGGTTCAGGGGACATTGGGCTTTATTAACGGGAGGAATTCGTTTGATCTGATCAAGAGTGCACGGAGAGTGTTCAGTAAAAATTACGGGACAATTCGCTCGTAATTTTTTACAGGAGATTCAGATAAAAAGTACGGAACGCTCGGGAAAAATTCCGTGACAGCTTCGTAAAATTAAAGATACGCAATTTTTACTGAATATTTCTCTCCGTGTGTTCAGACAAGAGTGAACTTTAGGAAATATAAACGGAGAACGAAAAAATCGTGCACATCGTGAGGAAAATACATTCGAAATATGAATGAAGCAACTTAAATTCGTATTTCCATTTCAGGGGGTATCGGACGATTTTTCCATCCTCCTCATCACTCCGATCCACTGTTTCTCCGCCCCCTCGACTCGCAGATAGTCTCATTCACGAAAACGTAATATATATCGGTCCGAACAAAATACCGAATAAAGGAGGATGAGAGAAAGAGTGAGAAACTGGTGTGTGTACTCTGCGAGACTTTTTTATTCGTGTTTCACGGGGCTTTGCATTCACGAGTGTTCATTAAGGTAATGGGTAGTTTAAAAAGCCCGCGGTTATCCCTGAGGCTGACCTCCACTCGGGGGTGAAGAGGACCTGAGGGAAAAAAGAGAGATTACACCGGTCGATTTACCCTTTTCCTTCCTCTCGCCGAGGCACGACAAAGTGTCGTATTATCAGCCCTCGAATGATGCCAAGTATAATAGATCGCGGAGCAGATTCACCGATGTCGCGATTTTTTTATTGAAAATTTCGTGGCCCAGACGTCTTATCCCCCCGGGGAAATCTCGTATACGCAAGCACCAGTCCATTGAGACGCGTACGCCTCATTGTTGCCACAAGTGGGCACCCCCGTTTTATTGCCGACTTATTCCATTTTTTTTCCTTCGCTCCGCGATTATTCAACCGGAAACAGCTTTATTTCCTTAATTAAGAAACTCTCAGCTTCCTCTCCAGGGAGCTTGCTAATTAATGCGAATTAGGGGCCAACCTCCTGCGTTCTTCTTTCACTCCTTATTATTATTACTCCAGCGAGGTTTTTCATTCTCTTTTGGGTTCTCGCAATTTCAGTTTGTATTTCAAAGGAGAATATTTGTTTTACGCTTTTTTACTCCCGTCAAGTTGCCCCGGCTTTGGGCAATCAACTCGCTTTTTTCGGGCTTGAGGGAAACAAAAGTTATAATCTTCCACCGTCCAATGCAGTTCTAAAGATGAGTGATTTTTTATTCGTTTTGAGGTTTTTTTTTTCGTTTTAAACTTCAAAATGAATTTTTATTCGTTTTGGAGCTGGAAAATTGTTTGGTTTTTCTTTAATTTTTGTTTTTTACGTGATTTAATCACAGGATTGAGGCCTTTATTGCGCTCGTGCAGCGAGCCAATGATTTATGATTGGATATATTTGATAAATGACATTGGATACTCACCAACGAGTGTGAAGGTTCCCAGTAGCAAGCCGAGACCGCGGTTGGCGAGGATCAAGTCGTCCAGGGATTTTCCGTGGACTTTTTTACGCTTCGAGGCTGCCGCCCAGACACTAATACTCAGGACAGCAGTGTAGAATACACCTATCCCGGCAACTCCCGCCGCGTAAAGCCCCATCTCGATAAATCCACCTCCTTGGGTCTATTAAAAATAAAGGGATAACATTGTGCGGAGAGTAAATAGGCACTCGAAGGACTATTGATTCTTCCTCTTCATGGGGAGAGACATTTTTTTTGCATGTTTTTTCTCCTGACTCTTTGTGCGAGCTCTCTTTGAATAAAGAGTCAATTTATGGGGCTTTCACATTCAACGGATCAAGCTCTTTTTCAATATTTACGGATTTCTGCGCTGCGATTGGATAATGAAATATTTCCGGATCTGCTGAATTTATTTAAATTGAGAAGAGTTCTTTTTATTTGACAACGCGTAAATTCTGCAGAATTTAAAAATAATTTTTTGTAAATATCTCAAGGGCGATATAACTATCATTAGATGATATTAACGATATATTCAAGGCAGTCATTCAAGTTGAATGACAAGTGGGGTCAGGTCACGACCCGGCCTCACCCTCAACTGAAAGTTCAAACTGTCTCCACATTGATAATTTTTTTATTTTGTTTCCCACCTCTATCCTCTAATGGCTTTTGTACCTGACACTATTTCTGTCATTCCCCCACGATAAATGCAAGTGAACTATTTCCGAGTGTGGATTACTCTCGACCGGCCCCCGGAAAGTTCACGGGTCAGAATGAATCTGTCTGTTCCACATGCTGTCCTGACAGAAATGGATTGCTAAATGTTATTCACGTATTCATGGTCACTACGAATTATTCCTCTATTACCGTTTCCGCATGCGACCAATTGGAATTTTAAAATTGTGCTGTGAGAACGGTGAAATAATTATCTTCAGCATTTGCGCCTCGCGGATTTTTTATTTAAATTATCGGAATTGAATGAATGCATTTTATTTAGAGTGAAAAATGCAAGCAATTCTGTTCGTTTTTTTCACTTTATGTAAAAACCCTCAAAACGTCAAACAAATTTAATTAATTTTCCATGAAATTGTCACGATTTCCGATCATAAATAAATAAATAAAGTTTTGACGTTTTAAAGGGTTTTTAGACATTAATAAATTTATTCTCTTTCATTTGCAATTAATTTGAATTTGATTTACAGTGAAAAATACAAATAATTCTTTCAGAGGAGAAAGAGAAGGAATTTATTAATATGTAAAACCCTTTAAAACGTCAAAATAATTTAATTTCGATGAGTTCATTACTTTCTCAATTAACTTTTCATAAAATAGTCACGAGTTCCGATCATAAATAAATAAATAAAGTTTTGACGTTTTATAGGGTTTTTAGACATTAATAAATTTATTCTCTTTCATTTGCAATTAATTTGAATTTGATTTACAGTGAAAAATACAAATAATTCTTTCAGAGGAGAAAGAGAAGGAATTTATTAATATGTAAAACCCTTTAAAACGTCAAAATAATTTAATTTCGATGAGTTCATTACTTTCTCAATTAACTTTTCATAAAATAGTCACGATTTCCGATCATAAAGCCGGTAAACTATAATCCTGACTCGTGACTTCATCAACTTTACAAACTCGGTGATTGCGGCTTATGCTGTGGCATTTAAACGGCCGTGGGATTTTCCCTGAAGATAATTTATCCGCATGGCCTGACGCCAGAATTATATACATATATACGATTAATCCTACCTTGGTACTTGGAGTACCTCGTGCAAGAGGATGTGAAAACCAATCGATTGGTTCTGTTCATCCTGGTCCTCATGCTTGATCGGCTTTGTAATATAGTGCATCAAGGATGCATGTAATGATTTTCCAGGAATTATGCGGAACAACGGAATTATTCATCAATTATAGGGATTGGGTGTACCCCTCGTCGAGGGGAGGGCGAGTAATTTGAGTGGAGAATGCAAATGAAAAGTTGTCTGCGTGCAAACTAGACTTGCGGTAACAGAATCCCTTTATCTGGGTCCGGACAAATTGCTGGAGAGCCTGGAGCAATGGCTCCGAAAGCGTCATATAAGATAGGGGGTGAATATTCATAGTTATTTGACCCTGGAGTCACTGTCGCAATTGTGTGCAGTGAATGGAGATTGCAGGGGGAAGTGGAATATTCATTATTGATCAGACAATTTCGGGAAAGCCTTATTTACTCGGGAAATTCTTCGCAAAGAATTTACTCATTATAATTAATTGCGAATATTCAGAGTGAGCTGGATGGCGCATTGTTCCAGGGTGTATTAATAGCATCGGAGGAGCTCGGCGGTGCGTTGAAGGGGATTTAAAGTATCCGGAATTCAATGAGATAAATCGACAGCAAACACGGGGTGTCGCTATTGAGTATTCAATGGAAAAATATAGGCCGGATACTCGAGAGTCCCTCAGTTGCAGTGAGTTTAATTCTATGAGCTGATGGGCAAACAGCATTCAAGTTCTCTCAATTGTCCTCAACATTTTCAGAAAAATTCCCCTTTTACGAATAAAATTATCTCAGCGCGCATTCACAGTCAGCAATTAAAACGAAATAAATGTCTACTCGAGTTTTTGCATTTTGCGAATGCAGAGGTGAAAAAATAATTTGAATGTTTTTACCTTCAGACTCCCACGGGAGTCACGAGATTTCTCAGGTCGCCATTCTAAATAGCCATCGACACCGTTCAGAGCGAAATGTTTTCCGTTAAATTTTTAGTAGTAAGTAATCACCGGTTTATCGTGGATAATATTGTTTACTGGATATCAGTAACGAAGTGGGATTGTGGCACTAGACATACGGGCGTGCGACTGAGTGCCAGTATCTCCAGCATCCAATGCTGGACCACACGAGGGGTGGAAGAACGGTTGGAGAAGGGGTGGGATAAGAGATCCACGTGCAGGGGGTTGCCGGTTGTATTGATCTGTCCGCGCAAACTCCCGGCAACTTTGAGTTTTCCCTCACACATATTCCACCCCCTCAACGCACTCTTTCAGATTCCCTGTATCCGGAGAGTGGAGTTTACTCGTAGTGATCATCCCCCGTCGCCCCTCCCCAGACTCTTGAGTTTTCTGTTGTACGACTCGCTCGAGCTGAAAAACACAGCAGAAAACTTCTCGTCACTGCGCTATCCCTATTCTCAACACCTTCGAACTCAACCCCTTCCACGTATCTTCGACGACGTACGCTCAAGTTATAATGGGCTAATCGAATTTCCCCCATCCTTGATCTCACCTCTCAGCATCCACCTGCATATTTTATGGTAAACCTTTCAATGAGTTAGGTGGGTAATTGTGCCACTCGTTCACCTAATTGATTCCACTTATCGCCGATAAAACGAGCAGAAATTTGTGGGCTAGTGGATGATGAAATGCTGTTGGAAATAATTTTCTGAGGAAGAAAAAAAATAATTCAAAATTCAGTTAATGCAACTTTAAATTTAAAAATATCTATGCGTATGAATATGAATACTTTAGGGGGAATAATCAACAACATAGACATATATTAGTAGAAATTTTATATTTCTCCACGACACGAAAAAAAAATTATAATGATAACCATATGCGAGATAAATACGTGTATTAATTTTGATAACAGAAAATATCAATGAAATGATTTTTGATTGAGAAAACTTTGTACAAGTATATTGGTATTACATGTCTCCACGTCACAATGATTCATCTCTCCTTTTGATATCCTTCACGATTTACGCTACATTAATATAAATTAATTCATTGGCCAATAGTATGAGGATTTACATCTACGAGAGAATTTGTTAGAGGAAAATTATGATGAAATGGGCGTTGCACCCCTTGGGAAAAAACTAGTAAGTATCTGGCGTCGTTCTGACATTTCGCACCAGCACAGACGTCGAGCACAATTCAAGTCACTTGTTTAAATTCATTTTTATATTATACATGATTACAATTACTCTTTGTGCTGTTGTCGTGCATAATTGTCTACTCGTTTTGCAAATGCAAGAGGAAAATCTGATGGATATCCAGTTGCAAAATAATTTTACCCATAAAATTGAAAATGTAATAGCCTGAAGGACGAATGGAAGGAAGAATTGCTCAATCAGATTAATTTATCGCACCGAATGTGATGTTTTACACTCAACGTAACCCATCATCGACTTTCCATTAAAAAATGATCTATTTTGATCGCAATACTGGCTCATCACTCTCGAAAATTCATTAGCCTCGGCATTCGGGGGATAAACAGCGTTAAGATTGTAAACAAAAGGGAATATATTATATATCGTACAATAAAATTGTTATGATAAAGTCTGTCCAACTCAGCGAATGGTGACAGGAGTCCACAGGAGGCAGAGATAAATTCACTATCACTCAACTGGACGTCTTTTGCAATATCACAGTGTCAATGGAACAAAATATGTTGACGCAGTACAGACACTGAGCACAGATTTCCTTCATTCGGTTTTATCTTCTCCTTGTATTCACTCTCATGCACACGTACATTATTTATTTGGAAACAATTGCGGGAGAGGGGTATTAATCTATTTTAACTGTCGAATAGATTTTACGGACGAATGCGTTGGTGCCGATGTATCCTACCGTACCGCACATTATTCCAAGTGCTAAGCTAAAGAGTGCCATGTAACCGAAGTAGAAGGCAGTTTGGAAGAGGCCGTACATTCTGCAAAATCAAAGAAATTGTGAAATTAAATTGATCAATTGCATTATAATATTTTTTTTAGTTCTTTCCCGTATTTTTAGGTAATAGTCACTCACTTTGTTTTGAAAAAGAAATAGTAGAATGAATAAATATAGACGTATCCCGCGGTGGAAGCAGCAGCTAAGAAACTAGTCCATTGCCTGAGGATAAAAAATGTTGAAGTATCAAAAAATAAAGTGATAATCTCATTTAATTCATGAGAAGAATATTTACCATCTGTAGTCCTCGGCATTGAGCAGGAAATACGTGCAAACAATGGTTACGCAAACGGTTACGATCATAAGGATGACGAATACGAGGAGCATAAATCCGTAGACGTAGTAAATCTTGTACGCCCAGAAGGATGTGAATATAAAATACATTTCAATGAATATCGAGCCGAATGGAAGTATACCACCGAGGAGAATGATCACGAGTGGCTCCATGAACCATTTTTTCTCGGGGATGGGGCGAGGAACTGCGTTCACACGACAGGGCGCGTCTGGGGTCCCTGCCAGGTTCCTCCCCAGGATTGTGCCCACCAGGGTCAAGGGGAGAATCACGAATATACAGATGCAGGTCACTGCCACCTTTAAACATTTAAAAAATTGAAATCATTATATTTTCTGTTCGTAATTTCCAAAAAAATCTACGACTTTTTTTCTAGTTTTCAAAAACTTTTGGATAAAAAAATTAAGACAGTAGTGCAATTAAAAAATCGTTGCACTCGATTTTTTTTTGAGTTAATAAAAATAGTCGACGATGTAAAAATAAAATTACCATAGATCCAAATGGAATAGCTCGACTCGCATGATAGTACATGGCAATGAAATTGATGAAGAACGCTGTTCCACAGACCATGACAGGCAGCATGAAAGCACTAAGTATCATCTGTTTAATCCAAACTCTGCCCCCCATTCTGGCATAGAGACCCCCTCCAGCGTATCCATTCAACGGTGAAGTTGCTGCATACATGAAGATGGCAGTGGACAGCATCGAGCCCCTCTCCGTGTACAATTCCCCAAGAATTGCGAATATGATGACACTGAGTACGACGAAGGTGACTTGGTAGCCACAGCCGACCAGTGCTGAGAAGAGAATGGGATGGCTGGCAGGTCGAAAGACGTCTCCGTGCACCTGCTTCCAGCCATACTCGTCCCCCAAGTCCCTCTCTATGTCGTCCATCTCCTCGTCTTTGCTGTATCTCGCGTAGTCCTTTCGCAGTGTTCGCATGAGGATCATGGAGACAAGACCCACCAGGAATATCACCATCATGAAACTGTTGAAGATGCTGAACCAGTGGATCCGATGCTGGAAGAAGTTGGGGTCCAGGTACTTGTCAAATCTGTCCTCGAATTTGACACTACTCTTTCTCCAGTTGACCTCGTAGCTGAAGGCTATGTGAGCGTTTGGAGTTAATTTCACTTTGTTCTCGCTTGTTAAGTTAACGTCGACAATTTGCTTGCCATTGTAACCAATGTCGAACTTCTTGTGCGTCCAGATGTAGTAGGATATTTCGCCATTGTTGTCTTCAGGCTCTCCTACAACTCCTGAATAACAATTTCATTCAATTGTTGTTTTTGGGGGAAGAAAAAGGAATCAGGAAAGTTAATACTTGAATGCTTTAAGAGTATTCACGAATGGGGAATAAAGACTTGTAAATAAATAATTTCATTTGGCGAATAACTCTGGGAAAAATTGACCCAATTGCTTCACTCACTTGCAAACGAAATGCAAATAAAATTCACAGAAATATAAAAATAACCGGTATTCCTTACCCCATATTGGAAGATTATCTATATACATTTGATACCAATACTGGTTTTTCACAGCATAAATGAATGCCTTCAGGTGATTATCATTGAGTGCCTTGATTCCACAGAATTCGGTCTTTGCCACGTCGGCTAAAAAATTGAAAACGTAATTAAATACCTCATTGCTAGGAGGATTGTCCCGAGGAAATGCTAGTTTTTACCTCTGAATTCTATGTCAAGCCCACTGAACTTGAGCTCGATTCCTTGGAGAGCTTCTGACAGAGTCTCATGATAGTGACCAATCATCTCTTTGGGTCCAGCACAGAATGGCAAAGAAAAGTAGGAGTAAGTCTCTTGTCTATTGTGGTATGGGCCCACTGTGCTCATCCACAGTACAACTTCTTCATTATCGTCATACTAAAATGGCAATTGACAAAATTCGTTGGGTATCGCATGTCAACATGTTATTACATAAAATTAAAACGCCCAAGAAGTGGGAAAATTTACGATAAATGTACTTTTTAATACTCACAACATGATTGTGTTCGTCAGTACTGACGAGATGAACCAGGCAGAGTGCGAGAAAGAATAAAAATTGATGTGTTCCTAACATATTTATCCTCTGATCGAATAACTGTATTTGAATGTTCAACTAGTTCCACTAAATCAACGAATTTTTGCTAAATACTTGGGGAGACAGCCCCAGGCATGTTCAAAATATCATCAAAGTTGTTATAGTTGTACGTGGACGAGTTAACGAAAGCCGACACGAGTACACACTTTGATATTACGGTCGGAGGCAGTCGGAGGCTTGCTGATTGCTGATGATTCTGACACATATTACGTTGCCTTCTCATGGAAATTGTCTTGCTGGCTGCGTCGAAGGGTTATCGTCGCTCGGTGGAAATTCACGACCGATTCTCATGTGGTTGGGGGTCTTGTCGTTCATTGGTCCGTGCCCCGGGTTGGGGTTGGCTTATTTACCGATAGAGGGGACTTGCCAGCGTCTCTCACCAATTTTTCTCATCTCACGTCAGTCGCACAGTTGGTCGACGCAGGCACGTTATATTCGCCTTGCATTTTGTTGAGTAACGAGTATCCGTTTATATCAATTCAATCGTCATGGCAGAGGAATATCTTTATGGTAAATATTGATTACCGGCATCGGGTTATTATTCTCGAGGTGTTATTTATTCATGAGTGCTTTTACTTTCGGTGAAATGTACGGTGGAAGGTGATGAACGCATTGGCTACGCGACGCCGGCAGATTTTCGGCCATTGTGCTTCTCTGAGATGGGACTCGACCCCTCTGACTGAATTACACGAGAATTATTTTTACTCGGATTTGATAAATTGGAGCTTTTGGCTTTGGGGGCATCATGGGGTCACCGTAATTCATGGGGCATTGTTTATTTGTTTTTTAGGAATCACTCTGGAGGGGGAGAAGTCCATTGAGGTCTGGGATCCAGAACACAAAAATGACGACGCTGAAGGCGGCAACCAACATTTTGGCGTCGATCAAAAACTCATCATCAAAATGGTATGTGGGGTGATGTAGTCCAGCTTTGAGTTTTATTCTTGAGGGACACTTGGGGGCTCACCAACCCTGACGCCGAGCTTGAAAATCATTTTATGGCCACTGTTACTTGGATTCAATATTTTTTTACTACTTTTTTTACTACTTCAGCCCTCGCAGAATTTTCTCTTATTTTTCTTTATGTTCATTAGAATAGTGGGGGAAAGTTTAGAGGCATTGCATATATTGACTCGTCACGACGGTTATAATGCAAGCCTAGGCGCCATTGTTTGAGACAAGTTTGCGCGCCAACTATTAATTACAGTAGTTTGGGTGGGCTTCTGCAGGCATCGATTCTTTCGATTTCATATTTATCTTTATTCATTTCGGTAAAAAACTGCTGGAGAAAATCTTTTCCGAGTCATGTCTGCAGCGAAAAATATTAATTTAGGGGACTGTTGAGGGGTCAAGGGTCAAATTATGAATTTTGTTCATGATTTTAAAGTATTTGGAGAAAAAAAAAAATTTATTTCAGGCACTTTTGGGACCGGAAGCCAAGCCTGGCGAGCTCAATGTCCTGCAGGTAGAGGCCATGGGTCTGAAGGGACTCATCAAGACTCCTATTGCGCTTTTGGAGCGGGGAAAGACCGAACAAATTATTCTCGATCTCAGCTTTCCGGATCCACCAGTGACTTTCACACTTGTCAAGGGAAGTGGACCAATTCACATAGTTGGGCATAATCTTCTTGGTGAGTTTTTTTTATTGTCTCTATGCTACGATCGTCTGTCTTTCGATTTTTGCATTTATGTTGTGGTTATTTAACGATTTCTTTTTGCATCAGGAACTCACATGGAAGAATTTGATGACTTGGAAGATGAGATGGAGGAAGAGAACATCGATGACGAGGATGACGAAAAGGTGAGCCAAAGACTCAATCAATTTCCACATTAATTTTCATTTCATGCACGACATCTAATCATTCTCAACGCAATTGCGATTGATTTGAGAATAGAAAAAAAAATAATCAAAATCAAAGAAAAAGAAAATAAATGAATTGGCAAATTCAGGTATTGTATATAAAATAGAAATAAATATTTCAGGCTGCACAAAAGAAACGAAAGCAATCCGCGGATGGTAAAAAAAATGGCACCAAACGCGCCAAGATGGATGAGGCTATAGACAAGTAATGCGTTTAGTGCGATACCAGTGAAATAATTCATAACCATTCTTTTTGTTTAGATTTAAGTTTTTGTCTGAGGGTCAATCATAAGAGTTTAAAGTACATTTTATGGTCATCTTAAAATTAAAATAGCGAGAAATAAAAAGTTATAATCCTGGTATTCACAATGTTCCCTTTGTGTTACTTGAAAATTTTCATCGATTAAATAAATTATTTTATTTAAAAATCTGATTGGCGTGTTATTCTTCATCTCTACGATATACTTAAGTCCTTTCACTCCATCTTGGCGGTGTTTTTTTTATTCGAGAGAATCAATTTTTTTTACCCAAAAGGTGAGATTACATTTTTTCTCATCCAATTTAATTTTATTCCTTGGATTATTGGGGGTCTAAAGTTTAATATTATTTTGTGATGACAGGACACGGAGGTTGAGGACGATGAGGACGATGAGCCCAAAAAGAAGAATGCCAAATTGTCAGCTCCGGCCAAAAACAAAAATCAGGCCAACAAGAACAAGAAAAAATAAAGCAACTGTGGTGTTTGTCATTGTGGCCTGAGAGAGATAAAAAAAATCCATATTTTAGGCTAAGATATAACGCGTAAGTCCATTGACCATCATCCGTGCATTTGTACGAATTTACTAATCTTATCATCGGATTATTCGGATATTTAACGAGACAGGAATAGAGCCACCACGATTGTGCGACATTTACTATTATAGTTGACAAATTGATAAAAAGGAGTTAGCCATTAAATACTTGACACTGTCATTAGATTCTCCATCGTTTCAAGATCATTTTACTTTCTTGTTACTTCCAATTTTATTTTTTCTTTCCACAAAAATAATGTGAGAATAACTCACGATAATTGAATCCTCGTAATGACAAAGAATTATTAAAATAATGCTCAATTTTCAAGTCGTCTTCATCATTCATACTGTCAACTCTTCCAGATTAAAATACCAGTTAATAAATCATTGTCATGTAATTTCTATAATTTTTTTTCCATCGAGATATTCACGAAATAACGTCAATTGTCTGAAGATATTTCAAGTCATTCCATTTTCAACGAGTGGTTTGTACATTTATCGAGAGGTCACGAGTGTTATGTGATTTTTGTGTAAAGAAACACCGAATGCCTGGGCTTTACGAGGGAATCTTAATGAAGAGGCACAGGTATTTCTGGACGATCGACTGCACACTCTGTACACCTATTTTGTACATATAAGCGATACAATAAAAACATTTCACATAAATCATTCGAGCAATTATTGAGGGAGGATCGTCTGTCTTTTCTCTCTGAGGTAACCCTCACGTCGTTCTCGTCACACACAATTCCTTTGATATTATTTTTTTTCCCCGAGTAGTTTAGATTTTTGAGACTTTGTATTTGGTGTTGTTATGAAGAACGCAGGAAGAACTGGTCAACAGACCGAAATATGTTTAAATGAGGAAGAGAATAACGAAATCCGGACAGAAAGTGACAACTAAATTTCTCAGGTTAATTTAACTAACTTCAAACAGTCGAAGGATGGCTGGATCATGATAAATATTCATTAACGTCTTCTCCAATTGATTGGATCATTCGATAGGAGATTTACAAAGTCGTCAAAATCTTTAGAGGCACCAGCGTGTGGTTCGAATGGCCCTAGTCAATGTGATATGCAGAATATCTCGTCGAATGTAGAAATTTCAAAGCCCCATGAGTTCAACGAAATAGCCCCGGACGAAATTAATCGTCTGCGTCAGCAGGTAAAAAGAAACTCCACATCAACTTCAATTATTCATCTCACTGCTCTTTAAAGGTGAAGGAATTGACCGAGAAAATCGCAATAGTGGAAAATGAAAGCCATTTGAAGGACGTTCACCTGGAGAACCTGCGGAGTGACAACGAGAGAATAATCTCGGAAGTAAAGAAGCAACAGAGATGCAATCGTAATCTAAAACGTATGGACATGACGATAAAGCGACGAAAGCGTTTCATAAAAAAATAGATATCTGCTTTCATTTTAGAACAGCTGGACGATGAGAGGTTTTTTTACGAAAAAGAGAAAGAGCATTTCTCACAGGAGATGGAGAACCACAGGGTCAAGTGCGTTGGCAGCACTTCCAAGCTCCATCTCCAGCAGTACAGGGAGTTGGAGAGGGTGCGAGAGGCGCTGGAAGAGGAGAATAAAGAGATCAGGGATGAACTCGTGGCGAAAAATGAAACTACTTATAATTTGTGCATCAAGTTCTTGAGGATGAAGGACGCGAGGGACGTGTTGAGGGTGAAATTGGACGGGTTGTTGAGGGATCATCTCCACGTTATTGCTGAAATGATGGAGAAGTTGGATGAGGCCAGGGAGGAGCTCAATATCATCGTTTCAGAGAAGTTTCAGGACCCTCTACCCATCAGCAAAGCTAAATTCCTTCAGGTTGCGTTTCTATGGGGGCGGGGGGTAAAACGAGTCGTCTTTAATCGACGATAGGATTTCGATAAATGAAATTTTATTTTGAAGCTTAAGGAAATCTTGAAAATGAAAGAAAGACTGGGAATTTTCAGTCGCTATCCAGTTATCGACAATTAAAGACGGTTCATTTTTTTTTCCGCTTGAAATCATTTCGTCGATGATGTTAAATCGTTTGTATTCAATAGGTAGTCCAAAGAAATAGCAGATTAGTGTACGAAAACGCTACCCTCAAGGTTCACATCCAACAATTAACCCTGAACATCGAAAAGTTGAAGGGTCAGTCGCAGAAACCGAAGATGATTGATGTAGACACACGAACGATAGCTAAATTGAGTGTTTGTAGCAGTAAGAAGAGGAATATTCTGGCTGACAGGGATTTTTCACATATGTAAGTGCATTCCCCTCCCCCCGCGATCATTTTTAATCCCCAAAATTCACGATATTTGCAGACCATGTAAAAACGAATGCTCAAAGCACTCGAAGAAGCCCCAGAATTATTCCAAGAGACCACAATACTCAATAAAATCAGATCGGGTGTCCAGTGCTCCTGGAATTATCCAAAAGTCTTGTGCAAAAAACGCAGAGGACACTTCGAGAGATAGTGACGAATCCACAAATAATTGATAAATAGTTCCATGAAGATTAAACAAACGCAACTTTTACTTCTTTCATTCATTCATTTTCCATTTCCAAAACGAAAAAATTGGGAAATTGTTTGTTTATTAAGCAACTCACCGGGGTTTTCTCGAGGTAAATTGATTTTCTAGTCGGCGAATCGTTAAATATCGCATAGTTTTATTGAAAAAAAATTATGAATAACTGGTAATTGTTGGGGAGTCGCGAAGCGATGCGCGCCGACGTCTTTGAATTTTATGGGGAAGGGAGGGCGGTCGTTTGTACAATCTTAGATGGACACATTACGTTTTGGATACGCTCTAGGGAAAATGGCGACAGTACGGGGGGGTGGAATAGATGGGCATAGAAATTTGTGGACGCATTCCCGGATGGGCAGATTCTGATCAGGTGGTTGAACAGGGTTCGGTATTGGAGATATCTTCAGGAAATGTCTTACCAGTCGACGTTTTTAGTGCAGCGGCACGCTGAAGGATGGCGGGATTATCCTCATTTCAAGCGAAATTACTCACTGAATCGAATATAAGTTGAATCAGCCAGTGGAGAAGTAAATGAGCTATTAGCGACGGGAGGAAGGTTTTGACGGTGTATTTAGAAATGACGGCGATCTTTTGAACGGTAATCATCAATTTTGGAGCCTCGCTTGGGGCGAGGGTATCAGATTTCGATTTTTTCAGGGGGAAAGTCGACTTTCGCCAAAATCGAATTTTTTGGCCGAGTGAAAGTCGATTCCGATAATTTAGGCGACGGGCTACCCAGAACTCTCAATAGTATAGGGAAAAAGTGAAAAATGAAAAAATTTTTTTTTCACCTCAGGCCCAAGGGTCAGAACTTGAATTTTTTCAGGGGGAAAGTCGACTTTCGCCAAAATCGAATTTTTTGGCCGAGTGAAAGTCGATTCCGATAATTCAGACGACGGGCTATCCAGAACTCTCAATAGTATAGGGAAAAAGTGGAAAATGAAAAAATTTTTTTTTCGCCTGGGGCCCAAGGGTCAGAACTTGGATTTTTTCAGGGGGAAAGTCGACTTTCGCCAAAATCGAATTTTTTGGCCGAGTGAAAGTCGATTCCGATAATTTAGGCGACGGGCTACCCAGAACTCTCAATAGTATAGGGAAAAAGTGAAAAATGAAAAAATTTTTTTTTCGCCTGGGGCCCAAGGGTCAGAACTTGGATTTTTTCAGGGGGAAAGTCGACTTTCTCCTAAATCGAATTTTTTGGCCGAGTGAAAGTCGATTCCGATAATTCAGACGACGGGCTATCCAGAACTCTCAATAGTATAGGGAAAAAGTGAAAAATGAAAAAATTTTTTTTTCACCTCAGGCCCAAGGGTCAGAACTTGGATTTTTTCAGGGGGAAAGTCGACTTTCGCCAAAATCGAATTTTTTGGCCGAGTGAAAGTCGATTCCGATAATTCAGGCGACGGGCTACCCAGAACTCTCAATAGTATAGGGAAAAAGTGGAAAATGAAAAAATTTTTTTTTCACCTCAGGCCCAAAGGTCAGAACTTGGATTTTTTCAGGGGGAAAGTCGACTTTCGCCAAAATCGAATTTTTTGGCCGAGTGAAAGTCGATTCCGATAATTCAGGCGACGGGCTACCCAGAACTCTCAATAGTATAGGGAAAAAGTGAAAAATGAAAAAAAAATTTTTTCACCTCAGGCCCAAGGGTCAGGACTTGAATTTTTTCAGGGGGAAAGTCGACTTTCGTCAAAATCGAATTTTTTGGCCGAGTGAAAGTCGATTCCGATAATTTAGGCGACGGGCTACCCAGAACTCTCAATAGTATAGGGAAAAAGTGAAAAATGAAAAAAATTTTTTTTCACCTCAGGCCCAAAGGTCAGAACTTGGATTTTTTCAGGGGGAAAGTCGACTTTCGCCAAAATCGAATTTTTTGGCCGAGTGAAAGTCGATTCCGATAATTCAGGCGACGAGCTATCCAGAACTCTCAATAGTATAGGGTAAAAGTGAAAAATGAAAAAAAATTTTTTCGCCTGGGGCCGAAGGGTCAGAACTTTGATCTTTTCAGGGGAAAAGTCGACTTTCGCCAAAATCGAAAACGACCCCCCCCAATTTTATACTCCATCTGAAAAGTAGTTAATTGTAAATAAACTATTTCTAAACTATCCCACAAGATTGGAATTGATTTATCTGGAAATTCATTATTTACCCGCTGACAATAAATAAATATCGTAATGTTGTATCGGGAAATGATAAATGGGACTGGCGAGCCCCTCATTACCGACATTGGACGCGCGAGTTGGCCAAGCGCATCACAAGATGGCGGCTGCTAGTCTCCCGCGTACGCGTGCCGTCCTGTTACGTTCTGCGAAGCTTTTCCTCTCATTTTATTTCCGAGCTGAATTCAACTATTTCTTGATAGCACAACTCTTAAAAATAAACGGGAAAATAAATCAGTCATACGTGCCGAGTTATTTAACGTGAATATCGAAGATTAATGAATTGGAGGCTGTCTAATGGGTGAATAAATCAATGGGTGACTCTTGTCGCCATGATAAACCGTCATGTTGTCAAGATTTGTCGGAACAGGAGGCTAAAAACTTCATTAGCCGGCGGGAGAGGGGGAAAATCACGACTATTAACTGATTATGTCGGTTAACCTCGTCCTCACTTGTTCAATGTGGAAGGACGCGATCGGCCTCTCTCGCTCACTCTCCCGAGAAATGTAAAGGTGGCCAGTTGGGGGTGGGGGAGTGAAAGAGCCTCGTTTGTGCTTCTCAAAGCCGGTTCGCGAGCCGGCTTTTAACGATCGGTCATTAAGACGCGGAGAAAATTGAGACGTCCGCCGACAATCTCGGTTTGGCTCATATCCCCAAACCGGGACGTATTAACGCTTCCGTTTCTTCGATGCATTCTGGAAATTCACGGAATAATGAAGACTGGAATAGCCATCGTCGAGGAGTTTATTTGGCCATTTGGCTTTTGGTTAATCACACCTACGTTGGCTCGATTGAAACAACCAACGCATTTCATGTTCCTGGCTGATTTTCAATGGAGAGCAGCAGCCCAGGAACTCTCGAGAGGGGCGTCGTGATCAGGCATTTCAAGGATGCTTGTGTTAATTGGACTGGCCAAGTAATTGCAACAAGTTCCTCGGCGCGATTAGTTCTGGGTGAGAAGGCGCACGGGGATGCTCTCGGTTTATTATGCATATAAGTAAGTTGGATGTTGCTGAAATGCTTCAGACAGTCTTTATACTTTCCCTTGTTTATTACTTTATTAGGAGGACGTTTGCATGATTTGTTTCCACAGTTTTCAATTTTTCAAGGGACATTTTTCGGTTTATTCACAAGTCTTTGAACAATTGGCTAACGAAGAATGATTAATTTTTCCCAATTTGGAGATTAATCAATTGAAAAAATCATATGAAGAGGGAATTTACAGTTCCCCTGCACCAGTTAATTCGAAACATAAACACCTAATTGAGGACATTTGCGTGATTTTTTATTTTTTGATTCTTCTCAAGAGATATTTTTCGTTTTATTCACAAGTTTCGAACAATTGGCTAATGAAGAGTAATTAATGTTCGACAATCGAGTATTTAGAACCCTTTGAGAGGGTTAGGGCACCCAATGAAGGACTGCCAATGCAGTGTTGTGATAATTTGGCAATTAATCAATTATAAAGGCTATATGAAGGACGATTTTAGAGTTCCCTGTAATCATTAATTAGAAACATGGACACCTAATGACTTTATTATCGTTTATATTGATTTTATGCATAATATAAGTAAGTTGGATGCATCTGAAATGCTTCAGACAGTTTCTTCATAATTTCCCTTGTTTTCTCTTTTATTAGGAAGAAATTTGCATTTTTTTTTACATTTTTCATTTTTTCAAGAGACAGTTTTTGACAATGAAGAATAATAAATGTTGAATTCAGTAGCGAAGCGGTAAAACGGGTTAAGTCGATTTTGACTTATGGTCCGTTTTTGATTAATATCTCGGAATCTAAATGAGATAGCAAAATTTTTCTCATGACCTTTTTTGCAGGGTCAATTGAGGGTTATAAAAAAAGTCATAACAGAAATTGTTCTATCTCTTTTATATTCCGAGATATTCGTCAAAAACTGGGCAATAGTCAAAATCGACTTAACCCGGTTTACCGCTTCGCTAATGAATTAATCTTGAATAATTAATATTTTGAACTGAGAGGTCTCAGAAACCCAATAAAGGCCTGCCAATGTAAAATTAATCAATTATAAAAACAACATGAAGGGGGAATTTACAGTTCCCCTGTCCCAATTAATTCAAAACACAGGCCCATAATGGCTTTATTCATCGTTTATATTGATTTTATGCATAATATAAGTAAGTTGGATGCATCTGAAATGCTTCAGACAGTTTCTTCATAATTTCCCTTGTTTTCTCTTTTATTAGGAAGAAATTTGTATTTTTTTACATTTTTAATTTTTTTTCAAGAGACATTTTTCGGTTTATTTACAAATTTTCGAACAATTGGCCAATGAAGAATAATTAATGTTGAATTAATATTGAATAATTAATTTTTTGAACTCTGAGAGGTCTCGGGACCCAATAAAGGCCTGCCAATGTAAAATTAATCAATTATAAAAACAACATGAAGGGGGAATTAACAGTTCCCCTGTCCCAATTAATTCAAAACACAGGCCCATAATGGCTTTATTCATCGTTTATATTTATTTTGAGTCTGGCTAATTAAGTTAGCCCCTGGCGACTAATTTTAGAATGGGAATTCACTCAACTGTTCCAGATTGTCGT